TCCCAAATATTAAATAAAATATAATATTAAAAATAGAAACATGATAATAAATATAGTAATAAATAATATAGAAAATAAGGATAATTATAAAATAAATAAAATTATAATAAAATATAATTTTTCATAACTAGAGAAAAATTAAGGAATTAAGGAATTTTATATCACTATGGTAACAGTATATTCAATCAGGTTGCTTTATAATTGATCCAAATTCCCTTTTGCAAGATATTTAACATTGGTAAATCTTTCAAAAGGAATCCATCGAATATATTTTTCTATTTACAATTAATTTTATATTATTTACTAGATTGTTGGTACCTTTATCTCTGCTAGTTAATTCATCATAATAAATTCATTTATGATATTTGAACAGCCAAAACAGAAATTATCATTTTGACAACTAGTATAATTACTACAATCATGATTGTTGTGAACTAAATACTTGTCACAATAATCGATGTATCCATTATCTTTTTGAAAATAGCGACATTCATTACAATCATGAGTATTCAGTTCCATCTTTGAATTTAGAGAATTACTTTATCCATCTCGTGTATCTTTTCATGCATCGATATTAGATGAGAATGAAGCTTACTCATAGTTTAATTTATATAAATTCTTATACTTATTAATTATATCCTTCATTGTCTGCTTTATCTAGAAATAGAATTAAAGTCAGTGATGATAAGATTCATGGCACAAATATACAAGAAAAATATTGCTATTGGTGAAAACACAACTTTTTCATCATTAATTGCATTAAACAATACTACCAGTGGGAAAACAATATGTAATTCGTTCCATCAATGAAATATTTGAGTACATGCCTGAAGATTCGGTGAGAGAAATAATAAAAAGAATGAACATGTGGATCTTCTGGTACTTTGGAAAATGTTGATATTAATTATGAACTATTCATTTTAGTTCTTAAGATCTATGTTTTTGCATTATATAAATCATAAAATAACATTAGACACCCCAATCGTTTAATACCTAATTTAACACAAACACCCAACGTTACTAAATAAAATATGAACTTTTATTTTATTATTATAATTGTTAAGATGATCTCTAAGTTTGCTTATATTCTATAAAAGATGTTTATTAATACTTCCTTATTTTCGTGATAATAATTTTTTCTTTCAAATGATAAAACGTTTCATATGTAGAATAAAAGTGTATTCTCTAATTAATGACTCAAGATATCATTAGGATTAGTGTGAGGGCTAAGCGTGATGCTAGATTCAAGTAAGCCCATTTTGATAACAAGAAAATTGATAATGCAATCTAGCTTTGTTTGCTGACTTACTTTATCTATCTTCTTCCATTGTAAACTTGTTAGAGAAAATGTCTCAATAAAATAAGTCATAAAATATTGTTCTTACTTATGAAACATAAGAAATTTGACTTGTTATTTCTCTATATTCACAGTTTTTCATATCCAGACTGTGATTATATGGAGATTCGACGACGATATGTGTTATTTGACCAATTTTATTTACATAAAGAATTTTTCGCTAGGGTTAGTATGAGAAGATTACTATAGCTGCTAATAATAGATTAAAGATATACTCAGTAGTATTTCATTGCACAGATAATGATAGCATTGTTAAATTCACTGTTACATGTATAATCAATGTTGATAACTTCAATACTAATATCATAGTTGAATGTGAATCTTGCTATTTATCTACATACAAATCAGAGTTCTCCATAAAAAATAAGAGATTCGCTTTGATTATGTTGCCGAAAATAAATACTTTGAATGATTTTTGGAAATCGAAATGTTGCAATTCAATTAAGCAAGATAAAATATTCGGCTTAATTAAGTTCGTAAATTTCCAACTAAGCTGAATATATATGAAAGTATATCTGATATTCCAAAACAGAATATATGCTCACACCATTTTCCAAATTGACATAACTCAGAATCATTTTATTTATTATCTAATATAACTTCATAAAACAGAATATAATATATTTATACAAATACTTTCGCATCTCTCTATACTTAAAGAATAATTTTTCAAAAACAAACTTATTATAAAATAGTTTAATGAGAGCCATAAAATTACAAGTACTGAAAATAGTTATACTTTTATTTTCGCAATATATTATTTAATAGATTTATATTACAAAATCCGCGTCAAAGAATAACATTTTCATTCTCTTCCATTATATCTTTTTCATAAATTTCCTTGTCATTATTCCGAATTATAAAGTCTCAAAAATAAGAAATCCACAATTTCGATCTTCGAAGGGTCCGATTTAACAAATCATAAAATAAAAATTTTCTTTTGTAATTGTTAATGATTAATCAATTGTTATTGTTTATCTAGTTATAATCGAAAATTATCAATTGAAAATCATAATTGTAACTCAACAACCAAACAATCATTTAACATTATCCTTATATAGCTAGTACAATATATTGTGCAGATAAAATTTATAAAACTCGCCCTTATTATTTTTCGCCTGGGATACGTGTGTTTGTATGCATGCACGATAATAACTTATGTTCATATAAATAATCGAATAAGAATGAAGCAGTGAACGCACCCTTTGTTTCTTGTAATTTCTGCGTGCATCATAGTGGAAAGCAGTACATGTATTATGATTCATCTATACAGTATGTGCTCTTCTATTCAACAGAAATTGGAAATGCTATTGTTATACATGTTACTTTGTTCTTTCTTATAAATAGTGAATCTTTCAACTCGCTAGAAGAATAAAAAAATATTCTCAAAAAGTAAATTCTTCAAAGCAAATCTCAAAAATGAATTTCCAATATATAAATCGCTTTCTCGTATTTTTAACTGTCGTCCTGTTTTTATCCATGGCTATTGCAACGCCGATTCCTAAGTTGAAGAGAGATGGCGCTGAAGGCATAGCTAAAGATACATCTGGCGTTCTCAGTGGTAATGTCATTCAAGTACCCGTAAAAGTTGTTGCCTGCGGAAATACTGTCAGTTTAGTTGGTCCACTTAATCAAGCTGCGGGTAACATTTGCAAAAACAAAGTTTAATTCAATCGAGACATTATATTAATTTACTTGAAAATTACATGTATCATCACTACACTTAACTTTTAGTATCAAGCCAGTTTCTAATAGAGTCAGATAAATTCCTAATAGATAGATAAATTACATGTAACATCATTACACTTATCTTTTTGTATCAAGACCATTATATACAGAAATAATAAAGAAATTTTTACGTATATTTTATATGTATTAACAGATTATTCCTTTTTGAATAGTTATTTCTGCAGAATACGGTTGTTATGTAGCGTTTGTTGCAAATAATTAGGCAATGTATCATGTGCAATGCGATAGAAGGAAGTCAACAGCAAAATTCGTCTGATATTTATAGTGTATCCAGATTCATGTCGTAATTGAATTGTCATTTTGTAGATACTTAGTGGCAAGTCTTATAACTTGGAGCAGATAAAAACACGTAATAATGTGTGATGTATCATTTGAAGCAAATCAAATAACGTAAACATAAGTCAGCAGATGATAATAGCTCTTCTATTACTTGGAACCTGTTTTATTAATAAAAATTCTATCCAAATACATTACCGTAAGGCAGCTCTGTATAGTATCTTTCCCTTGTAAAAAATTTAAAAAATTCAAACCTTATTTAATCCAGCTTTTTTTAATAAAATTAACTTTTTGTTTCGCAAATAAATAATTCAATTTCACGGTGTAATTTCTTAAGAGCGCCTTACGGTACATTATTTTTGTCGAGCGCAATTCAGTTCTCTAAGTACATGTACATGATAGTACAAACAGTTTAGGATATCAAAAATATTATCAATTTTGAGTTAATAAGCTTTCTATTATGCTGAAGTTTCTTATTCAAATACCAAACCAATAGCATCGGTTTTGAAAATAAACATGTATTATCAAATTTGAGCTTTACATTATGTTTGACTAAGTTAGATATAGTCAAGGTTATTTAAATTATCAATATAATATTGGTTAAAATTGTGTCTGACTTAAGTTATTATTTCTAATACTGATTAAAATTATATTATTATATATAATCCTGAAATGCTGTACTCAAATTTTCTTATATATCTTATATTATATGAGATTTTATTAATGAGATTAGTATTCAAATTTTAATACTTAAAAAATTATAGTCTTTTAATTTTATAAATAATTTAGAATATTTATCAAATTTATATATATTAAACTAAATTAATATACTTTTTGTATTATTTATTTAATAAAATAAAAATTTTATATTCTTTTCATTCTTTTTATTTAATATTTAAATAAATATAAAATAGGATTATTAATCAGAAATAATCTTTTATTATAATTATTTATATTTAATAGATTATTAAATAAAACTCTTATATTAATTTTCAAATAATTCTATAATAAAAAAACCAAAAAAGTAAAATTAATTGCAGTATAAAATATAATTATTTTAAAAATAGTTATTTATAAACAAAGAACTCAATTAGATAATTATAAAATATAATAATAGAGAAATATAATTATAAAAAAATTTAGCAAAAGAAATACTATATATATTTTATTTAAATCATAAAAACTGATGTTTTTAAAATATTAGAAATAAATATTGTTATAATAGCAATCAAAAATAATATAGTATTTGAATTTTTGCTAAGAACATGACTGAATATAATAACAGAACAGAAATGAATATATAATATAAAACGAATAAATAATGAGATTAGTGAATCTAACAAAATTAGTAATGAATAGAAAATAAAGGTAACACTAACAGTATTTTAAAAATCAAACCAATATTTTATGTAAAATTTATCCAGTATTGATACTAAGTTCTGGTACAGTAAGTCAAAAAACTGACTTGTGTAAACGCTGGTGCTGGGTTATCACATATATTAGTTATCATATCGCTAAATGCTTCATGTAATTCGAATGCGGTTGGTCTTTATTTTGGATAAAATGTCTAGCATCCTTTTATAAATCAGAAAAAACATTTTGGAACTTTTCAATTTCCTTTGCTCTAATTCATTACAAATTTACATCGCTAATGCGAAAATATTTCCTTTCTCGCAAATAGTTTTGTCCAATTGCAAGTGAACACATAATAACGCTGTAACTAAAAAGATCAGCTTCTTTTGATTGTCCTGCGCCAGGAATTTCTAGACGATATAGAGAACACCATATAACTTATCAGTAGGAATATCAACTGATCCATAAATTCCTATCTTCTATCGGGAGCGCCTCAATCATTATATTCACATGCGTAAATTTTCATAATGGAGATAGAATCGAAGAATATTACAAGTCAGCATTAATTCTCTATAATAATAAAATTTAACATTCCAGCTAATATCTTTAATATATATGTAGTGATTCAGATCATTATTATCATTACAAATATGAAGATTTGTACATAGTTTTCTCTGATTTAACGAAAATACTGCACCTCCAAAAGTAATAATAATAAAAAATGAACCTATGTGAACTGCAAAAAAAACTATGGAAAATCATTTCGGATGAGCCGATTCAGCTCGCAAAAAAAAGCAGCTTAAAATTCTAGCGGTTTTTCATCACTACTTGTTACAAGTCGACCGTCTATATCGACGCTTTTTATCCCGTAAACCGTTTAGCATACAAAAATGTATGTAAAATATTTATGTTAGACTTTTGTCTTCATTTATATTTTCATGATTAAAGTCTTATAATTAATTAATTATATGTAATACATTTAAAAGAAGATTTCTTTCAAGTTATTGTTGACATAGCTCTTTTTTTTACATTAGTTAGTTTAAGGGATAATGGATTATAATATAAAATCAAGGTGAGATTTGTTGTTGACACCTTCTACTCGCATTGAATATACATATATTATATTGCGCCAATTATTTGCAACGGATACTAACGCTATATTTGTATCGATATATCGATATCAAGGTTGATTTTGATATCTGTGTTAATATCATTGATACGAATGTATAAAAGTTTACAAAGGTTCTTGATATGTAAAAACAATAGTATTCTGACAAAATAATAATATTCAAAAATTGTGGAAATAAGTAGAATACATATTTTTATAACTAAAATCATTTTTTGATTATCTATGCAAAACTTTGCTCTTACATTCATATATAATTTATCTGTTTACCGGAATATATTTAATCTCTTAATACATGTATTTGTAAAACCAAATGTCATATTATGAAAAGTCAGATTTTTCCTTTTACTATTGTTCTTGATCTTTATTGATGAAACGATTATGTCATGTAATATAACTCGAACACGTTTTTATTTCTTTTATTTATACTAACTGGTCTCAATCCCTACTATTTGTTTACATAATAGTTTATTTCATTCTCACTGAAGCTTTACATTTGTTATCTTCACCTAACGCTAATAGAGATCCGCAGACAGTAATTGGTGCGTTTATAGGAAGATTAACCTGAGAATACCATTGCGATCAGAAACCGGTGCTGCAACAGTCATGGATAAAAACAGGATTATTGTCAAAAATGCGAAAAGGCGGTTTATGTTTTGGAAATTCATTTTTAGATATGAACTTTGGAATGTATTTAACAAATTTAAAAGATTCTCAATTTATAAGAAAGATATGAACATGTTCTTGTATTAATGACATACATGCATATACATGTACTTTGTTAAAGAAGGAGAGCACATATTATGGCTGAGTGCAACGAAATTAATAATAAAATATTATAAATATTCGAATGGATTCCTTTTAAAAGATTAATAACATTTAATTGGAGTTTTTAGGACAGTTATAAAACAACCTGGTTGGATGGGCCATTGAATTACTATCATCGTTCTGTACAAAATTCGATTATGCAAGGTATCATATTCCATTTATTAAGGCTACAGTTCGTTAATTTATTGAACCATTCAAATATCGATTAAATGATAAATTATGCAAAAAGAAACAACTAGACTTACAAGATTACACCATCAAGCCTTGTAACTTATATTTAGAAGTCAAAATGACTAGATTTATAATAATGCTAAACATTATAATAAATACATCTATTAATTTCGATATATGGCAATATATAAAAATTGATATGCCTGAAAATAACATGTAACAGTCACTACAAGACATGCAATCAACTGTCTGGAGCAATTACGTGGTCTAATGTGCAACAAAATGTGCTACAAGACATGCTGAATGTTATAAAACATGCTTAAAAATTACTGGTCGTACGATGCTGATCTTGCCGGAATTAGTGAAATTATCGAAGTACAGTAATGTTAACAAAATGAGGATAAAGTTAACTGATAGAAATTGCAATTTCTTTGTCTTTAGTCATTTTATGAATGAAACATGAATAAATCATCAATTTTCTGTGAATTAAATATTAATTTAGCTATAAAAACAAAATAATCACAATCAAAATACTCATTTTAAAATCCACGTACCTAAATAAGCATTCTTTTTCACAAACTGCATACGTTGTATCTTTGTAATGCGTGCACACTTGCCCCCAAACAATAAAAAGCTCACATTGTAATAAAATTTACACATAGACTTTGAATCTCGAAATACACACCACACGTAACTATATGTATATAACGACAACGAGAATCTCCCGTTTGTTTTTCTATCATTTTAACCAATTCACGCATTTATTCCACTGAACTCAAAGATGGGAGCGAATACTAGTCATTGTAAAGAATGCACTGATTTTCAGGAGAATAGATACTGCGATGAGTGTATATTTCACAATACTCATGATAGTAGTAAGTGTACTAAATGTCAATGTTGACTGTTTCAATATCACAAACGATGAATTGTCTAGCAGAGATAAAGATATCGACAATTTAATAAAAGAATATAAAAAAATTTCTTATGAATATGAAAATATGTTCGAATGGATTCCTTTTGAAAGTGAATATCTTGCAAAAAAAGGTTTTGGATCAATTCATAAAGCAACCTGGTTGGATGGGCCTTTAAAATGTGATCATGAAGAGAATAAATTTAAACGAATTGGTGAAGAATTCAAAGTTGTGTTGAATCGTTACACACTCAAAGCAAATTACTCAAGAGTTTATCCATGAGGTAAAAAATGAATATTTTCTAAAGTGAAGTTTCTAATACTATCAAATTTTTCAAAAACAGATACAACTTCTTTTAGGTGAGTGATGATGTTATGATGGATTATGCAAAAATGGTGATCTCCGTAAATACATTTATTTCAACTACGAAAATTTGACTTGGAATCAAAAATTAGATTTTTTATATGATGTCATCACTAAACTTACAAAAATTCACAAAGAAAAGTTTATGCATTGTGACTTTCATCCTGGATTAATGCGTAATATTCTTCAGGTTGCTGCTTAACATTCAGACAAATATAGAAAAATTCTAACCAAGAAATTTGTGGAGTACTTCTTTATATGAGTCCAGAGGTGCTAAATGGAAAGCTATACACTGCCTCTGCAGATATTTATAGCTTTGGAATAGTTATGTACGAGATCGTAATAGGTGAACGACTATTATGCGATCGAAGTCATGGTAGAGATCTCGTATTAAACATCTAATATTCCTGGATGGTGCAAATTTATTATTGAAAAATGTTGTGATCCCATTTCAGAAAACAGACCAACTGCTGAGGAGCTTAAAGCCTTTATTAATTCTATAAGCTATGACATATGTGAACTGAATAATTTGCATTTTACAGTGCTCAGTTGTAAAAGAGAGAAAGAAATTAAAGAGTCTCTTAAACTAGAGAGACAAAACTTGGAAGATTTTTATACTTACACACGACAGAAGAGTATTAAAGAATTATGTTAAAATCGTTACGCAAACTAGATTTCTAAGCATAAATTCGGACTGCTCTAATACTTCGTAGCTTACAATATTAAATCAAGCTCAAATAGTAATGGATGGAGATCAGAGATAAAGATTTATTAACAATACAAGAAGGAGAAGCAGCTGAGACACTGTTGTTCAAAAGCAACATATGTAAAATGACATATGCACTACCTGTACAAAAGTCTTGCACGTCGAAAAATTTTAATTACGCAAAATTGCACATAATAATTGCATTTCGAATTTTAACGGATTATACTTTAACCAATAAAGTAACTATATAAATCAAATTTTCTTTGGCTAAAAATGATAAATCTTTGTTTCTTAACTCTTTTACTATATAACCTACTACATTCTTTAACGGAGTTTTAATTTCAATGTCTCTATTGCTCTTTAATTTTTTCAATAACCTTTCAACAATTATTTTGTTGGCCATCCATTGTTTGCAATAACAGTCAGCTTCTACTTTTCATGACATAATTTCTACCAAGGCTATTATTTGACTTTGTGAAATCTTGTCCCATTCTTCCTGTAATGCTATCTCTAATTCTGCAACTTTTGTTATTATCTGTGATCTGCTTCTTATACTTTCTTTCCAGCTCTGATTATAAATGCTCAATTGGATTCAAGTTAGTATATTAACTTGGCTAATCTGGCAAGATTTTGACTTTGTTCATTAAAATTCATTTCTTAACATCTTCAGCAATATGAACTGGCGCATTATAATCTCAAAAATAAAACTCTTTGCAATTAAATTCTTTATCAAAGGTAATAAATGCTTTTCAAGTATTTTTACACAGTTAAATCTATTTATTTTACTATCTACTTTTACTAGTCTTTAGAATTTTTTGACTTCTGTGATCAATAATTTTGAGCATCCAGATTGATGATGGATGACACAATCATCTTCATTAAGGTATTTATTAATAGCATAAGTGATAGCTATTCTATAAATCTTGAGATTCTACTAATTTTTGATACTAATTGCTTATTTTTGTAAAGAACAATAATTTTGACTTATTAGCTTTCAGTTAAGAAATACATTTTAAATCTTATATATATATATTTATTCAAAACAAAATAATATTATATTAAAATTTGCAATATAATTATTATATATAATTTGTATAATTAAAATTTTTTAATACACAAGACTTTTTATTCAGGTAATATATATAGATTCTATTGTTGCAAGTATGCTGATATATTTTTTTCTAAATTTATCAGAAAAGAAGGAGATAATCAAATTAACAAAAGTAATATAAAAATATATGATTATATTATCTCCTATAAATATTGAATCTAAAGAAAATAGAATATAACTAATTGATACAGTAATTAGTTTTTTTATCATTTGAATCATTACTATTACATATATAAAATACGTAATTGTATACTGATAACAATTGATCTCAAATTATTCAAAGAAGACAAAGATAGAGTATGGATTAACAATATTTAATTAATTAGCAAAAGTAATAATTATTTTGTTTCGTTTGTTGATGTTAGATAAATCCAATTAATTATTTTGTATAATGATTTGAATTATTATAGTTTTTGCAAAAGCTATCATAGAAAATGCTTAGAACAATTAGAGTACCTCTCTTTTTATAATTCATTTAGTCTAAACCATAAATTTTAAGCACCACCTACGTTTTTAATGATTTCTAAATTTACCGGTGCTAAATATTGATGGTATACGATATTTATTAAAATAAATTTGGTTATTTATTTTACTTGATTTTTTTGTAGTAATGTTTTGAACTTTTGAATTAAATATTATTAAGTTCATGCTTCATCTTGCACTCGAATTTGCCTTCTATTGCATAATTCCGTGAAGATTGGTACAGAACACCTTTAGAATTTTAATTAAAATACATTATTTTGTAAATCATTCAGTCTAGTCACAATTCTTTAGTCCAACTAACTTCTGAATTGTTTGTGATATATGGATCAAGAGAATAACATAGGATGAAAATGTTTTATAAAAATTTCTATTATAATCACATTCTTGGGAGCGCAAAGTAAGGAATTTTTGTAAGATATTCGTTTTATTGGTGGAAGACAGTGTTGATATCATAAAGTAAGATGATATGGGACAATAGAAATACTTATATGTTTAGTCGCACCTCTCTATAAGGACTCTCTATATAAGAATAATTTTCAAAACAAACTTTTTATAAAAATATTAAAATTTCTCTTTGTAAGAACATAATTATAAATTTATATGAACAAATTCTTTTGTCTCCAGACTTATAGACTGTATTTTTAAATATTTTTCGTAGCACATTACTAATTAGAGATACAAGATTAATATCTTGCATCGTTTCAAAATTTTCATAGTTACGGGATTTTTGATTGCGACGGCCATGACGAAAAAAATCAAATACAAATGTTTTGGACGTGATTTTTTAAGGTGCAAACCAATCAAATTACAAGATATGAAATATTAATAGCATTTCGGTTAGGATTGAGTTAGAGTCAAGATTATATTGTGGATCATTTTCGTGAAAGTATATACTGTACATATAGGAAAAATTTGCTAGAACACAGATAGTTGTTTCATAGGCAAATTTCGAGATACCCCCGTACATATTGATCCTGCGATTTGATTGGTTTGCCCATTAAAAATCACGTTACGAACGTTTCCACGTGATTTTTTTCGAAGTAAATTCCGTAGCATGGAATTGGGCTACGTCATCACGTAGATCCCGATCCGCGTGATATTGGGCACGGGATCAAATCTCGTGATTAGTGAAGTTAGATATGCAACGATGCAAAGCCTCAGGTTGATGCATCGTTGGGGAAGAAGATCTGATATGGAGTACACCAATAAATCCCTAATATATGAAGGTGTACCAATAAGGCGCTGACTAATGAATCAAAACAAAAATGATTCATTAGTCTTGGCGACGCGGGATCGCGACGAGAATAGTGGGGGGAAATTTGATTATAAATAAGGAGGGCTTTAGAGTAGAAGCGAGATAGAATTACAATTAAGAATTAAGTTCAATAGAACTATAAAATAATTCACCATTGTAATAAAAGTTCTTATTAAATAAAATAAAGATTACTATTATTCTTAAATAACGCATACATTCCTTCGAATCATTATTGATCTGTCCCCACACTCTCTATTAATAAAGTAGTCTACCCTAAGGCTACGAACACTAAATAACGAAACTACGACACCGCGACTACGAATTGCCTTCTTCGATCAACTCGGAGTATTGATCGACGAAATCATAAATTAATTAACGGAGAACTAACTGGGAAACAACCCGTGATCGTACAGTCTCACGGATTACTCGGTAGATCCCCCACATCCATTCCACCGGGTAACAACGGTTTGTGTGAATTGCATAACGATGTGATTTTACAATTTGCACTATAAAAGATATCTTAGATGATTAAAGCATGCATTATTAAAGAAACTATCCAAAGGTTAAAAATTTGGTAACTTTGGATCGCGATATCTCGACGTCCAACGGTCCAATTTGAATAAAATAAGACCATTCGATATATCTATCCTAGTCGAATGCTTCTATTTTTGACCAAATTGTATTGTTGAACGTCGAGATATCGCATCCCAAAGTCACTGAGTTTAGACGTTTTTCGGTTTGCAGAATTTGCAATAAATTACTGGGGAGAAATGCAGTAGACTGTAACACTGCCGCTACACAAAAAACGTATTCGAAAAAATAATGCATGTACATGTATCAACAATGCACATAAAAATAGAACGTATTTTATAAACTCCGAAATTTACTTGTTCATATACATGTACTTGTACATGTATTTACACTGTATTTCGAGATGGTGTCTCCAAACAAATGGCTTGATGATGCGATTTCCGACGGTAAAATTCATAAAATACCATTCGAAGAAATTACTAAGAGAGAAACTATTGGCATAGGATCATTCGGAACTGTTTATTTAGCTGATTGCAAATCAATCACCGAAAAAATTGTACTCAAGAAGGTAAAAAAATGCCATATTAAAGAAAAAGATAGTTTCTTCGCATTTATAAAGGAGGTGATTATTGATATTAAAGCTTTGATTTTGTATATAATAATGTATTATCTTGTAAAATTTATATTGGTTTTTCAAGTTGAAAATACATAGTAATTTGGAACATGCGAATATTATACCATTATATGGAATTAGTGAGAGTATGTAAAAAAGTATATATAATAAAATAATTTACTATTAGAATATTAATAATTTTACTTTCTATTTCAAGAACAAAATTCCTATTATCTGGCAATACAATTCGCAAACAATGGGACGTTGCGTGAATTTCTGAAAGAGAAACGTGATACTCTAGACTGGGATAAAAAATTGTCATTAGCAAAGCAAATGGCTGAGGGTATTCAATATCTTCATTCGCATGATATAATTCATCGAGATTTGGTAATACTTTATATTGAAATTCATCGTTATTCGTAATACTTATTATTTCTCTTTTTTATTTCTATGTAAAAAGCATTCCAAAAATATTTTTATACATGATGAACAAATAAAAATCGGAGATTTCGGTCTTTCTAAGAACATTAATAGCTTCCCCATTAGCAATACGAATTTCGGCGCGATACCGTATAGAGAACCCCAAATTTTTATAAACTCTATAAGAAGGACCAACGATCAGATATTTATAGTTTAGGAGTATTATTATGGGAAATATCGAGCTGTCGTGTCCCTTTTGAAGGTCATAATGAAGTAGCACTTATGCTGGAAATTCGAAGTGGCCTACGTGAGACTCTATTCTCTGATACTCCTTATGAATACATGAAATTGTATGAACATTGTTGGATATCTGAACCCGAAAATAGACCTTTAATCCAGGAGGTTTGCAGTAGATTAGAATCAATTCGAATGGTCTTGTTTTGAAAAATCAGGGGTCACATTATGCAGGTAATTAGTCGTCTGAACATTGATTAAATATTATTGATTTTCATTTGATATTGATCTAAATTATTTTATTTACTTGCAAATATACAAAATATTTGTATCAATATGTACATGCATTAATATTTAAGCACATAACAATTGGAATATCTGTGTAGAAGACATTGAAATAATTAAATGAAGAGCGATACAATAAATCGAAGCTAGAAGAACAAGATTAAGTGTTTTTCTAATTGATCTATGTTGATTATTAGTGTATGAGTTTCAATAAATTCTTTGCAAGAAAAACATTATGATACTCAGCATTTATATAATTTTACAACCAAGTATAGATTATTGAAATTAGATTACAATATGTGACTTTTTTCCATTGAATTTAACATTATAAAAAATTTTCAAAATAATATTAAGCAAATTCTTAATGTGAATACTTGCTATTCAAAATGAATAATTAAAATTTTCTATTTTCTTTAATGATATTTATAAAAATTAAATAAAATATTATTACAAATAACCTCATTATATTCGTACTCTTTTCAAGAACCTGTATAGCGAGGGCTCGCTACAGTAACACATTTTAGGATAACATCTCGTTATAATACACCAAATCTCTTGCCGATCTCATTATTTTAATAAGCTTATATTAATTTTTCAATATAATAATCTTCTCCAGATCACGTTATTGTATCACATAAAATAATTTTCAACAAAAGAAAATTTTATTTTTTGAATAATATGATTATTCCAAGCAATTGCATTTTCATTTTTTTTAAAAACGTTTATTTTTAAAAATTATAAGTTTGTCAATATTATTTATCAAATGGTATAGTTTCATAAAAAAAACTTGTGTCAATTTAATTGAAATTTTGTAACAATAAAATTTATTCGAAAAGTTTATTGCGCATATTCCGTAATTCATTTAAAGAATATTTCATAATCAAATTCAATACATAGAATATAATGTATTTTATATTGTAATCTACAAATATTGCATTGATAATAATAGACGTTAAAAGTATTCTGAAATAAAAAGTTTGCTACCGTAAATTTTAAAAATACTACCTAAAGCTTATGACAGCAAATTCGAAAATTGTCACTAAACATATCATATTTATCTGCTTCAATAAAGGCCGCTTCTACGAGCGCATCATAATGCTCAGGCATAATATCCATATAGGAAGACATAAGGATTCGGGCACTTTTTATACCGCTCATATAAAATTTTAGTGTCTTGGAATGCAAAAAAATCAAAAAGATTGATTGATTACGATGAGAAATTTCATTAGAATAACCCATCTGCTAATTCTTAAAAGTTTACCTCTTGACCCGCATAACCACCTTTTTTACCTAAAGTAATAGATTTTTTCTCGTTTCTAATTTCTGAGAAAGCATTGGTCTCTTCCAGTAGATGAGGAAGATGTCCGTTTGATATGCAATCCATATCTTTTTCTTCGAAGAATTTCTTCACTAAATTCGATAGAAGCCTTAAGAAATTTTTATTCAAAACATGTTACAAACTATCAATTACTTACTTCCATTTGAAATACGCTTCATAGCGACTCCATTAGTCCTAACATTTTCACATTCCATAAATTCAATCCATCCGCCTGATTTGGTTATTCGTATCAATTCGGGAATGACTTTTTCTTTCCATTGCACTTTTGTGAATGAGGCGGTCATAAATTTTAGGTGTGCAAAATCAAAATAGGAGTCATTGAAAGGTGCACCATCCAGAAAATTATAATTGAGAAAGGTTAAATTTGTAGGAAGACCTTCTGTTGGAAACATTGGTGAGAAGTCTATTCCTACAAAATAAGAGTTGGGATATTTTTGTGCCATATCCTATATTCTTTGTAAGAATATTGTATGATAATAAGGCGACGTAAAATATAAAACTTATTACCAAAAGCCATACGCCCGCACCACATCTAAAGATGAGCTTATCGTTATATCTTATGGTGAAAATTAGATTTAAAGTTGATAGGAATTTTAAACATATTTAAAATTACCCAACATCGATAACTTTAGCTCCATTTTCCAATTTTTCTTCAATAGGTGAATAGAACAATCCTCCCCAAACAATTTTTATCGCTTGAAAAAATTCGGAAAATAAACCATGGTTTAACAGCAATAATTTACTTTTTCCTCAAAACAAAAATATGTATAACTACCTTCATGATATCGTATTAACCGATTAGCCTCCTCATCATCATTTGCACCAATATACTCGGAATTAGAGATATTATGATACCTTCTTCCATCAACATAACGAAACTTAGTGCCGTCTATACTATCTCGTCTAGAGCAGCAGATACCCATTTTTCAGTTATTTGATTAATTAATCAATATCAAGAACAAATTGTTTGGTACCACATGAATATTTAAGGACATCTGTTTAAATGCTACATTCTATTAGAGCAGCATGTGTTCGTACATGTAGCCAATTTTATTGCGCATACTGTATAACAGTAATCATTATATTTACATGTTTACTTTTTAATCAAATAAAATAAAACTTTGACAACATGGTTTTTTAATATATACTGTAAAAGCTAAAAAACCAAATTTGCTTGATTAGAAAAAAATTTGAATTGAAAATAAAAATAAATAAAAATATTATATAATGGTAATGTACCAATTACAGTTAAAACTCATACTCGATAAAATGACATTCATATTATTATGACCAAACTGTAAAATCCAAGCTATTAAAAATTTTTGCCCTCATTTATATACATGTCATAGTCTCGTTATTGTATCATTTTTGATCACAAAAACATCAGGGTTAGGATTAAGACAAGTTAGGAATCATTAATATTAGTACATATATGTGCAGTAGTGTTACTTCTTAATTTTTCCTTGGCAAGAATATCATTACCATTTCTGGAACAATTACCGTTTTTAGTGATTATCGTTATTACATGTACATGTATAATCATACAACTATGATGCAACAAGGAAAGGTTCAATTACGACGTACAATAGTACATTAGAAAATTAAAATCTCAAGCTTTCAAACAAAATAAAAAAATCAATGTCGAACCCAACCAATACTTACAGATTTTAAGCGTGTTGAGATTATCGGCACTTGGAAGTGTGGTTTATCCGAAAACCAAATCGGAGATATATGTACTCTGGAAAATCTACTGTTCATAATGTTATTAATAATACAAAGACTTTGATAGTTGCTCCCCGAAGCGGTAGACCACCAAAATTAGATGATAGAGCCACTCGAAGGTTAATCAATATCTTTAAAGAAAATCAACAACAAAAAAACTCAATACCGCTATGTCTGTAACTGCTAGTGAAAGAACTATACGACGTGCTCTTCACGAATCTGGTTTTTTGGTCGGACTGGGGCGAGAAAACCTTATATATCTGAGGAAAGTGATTAAAATGTTGTTCAGAGAAAAGATTGGATTAATGAATGGGAAGTGCGAATCAAGATACTTAATAAGATATGATGTTGAATGTCTTCTTCCTATGAAATCGGGTAATCAGAGAGTAATGGTGTGGGGATGTTTTACTCAAAATGCACTTGGACCTTTAATCGAAGTTGAGGGTGGAATCACTGGTATAAAGTATATAGAAATAATGGAACAGAATCTTCTGCCATTTCTAAATGATTTGCCAGATAGTTTTGCTCATCATTTTCAAGATGACAATGCTAGTCAATGGAAAGAGGAAATTTAATCACTTCACTTCCATGGTCTCCCAGAGCCCTGATCTAAATCCAATTGAGTATTTGTGGAATGTTTTGGTGAGACGAATTTGTAAACGTCCAAATCACCCCCCAAAAATTTGGAAGAATTGATGGAACCACTTGCGGAGGAATGGGAAGGTTGAAAGTATGCCGAGCGTGCAAGCTGTAATTTATATCTAACCCGATATTAAATTATATGTATAAAAAGCCCTACTTTTACTGAATAAAATAATTATATTTTTTTATTGTAATTTATTAAAAATAATATAACAAATTTCACGATCTACATTGCTTGCAGATCATACATGTGCATGTACATTAATAATTAAATTAGCGTCTATGTAGTAATAATCGACATCAAGACTACCCAATATTGTTTTTTGAGATTTGTAATTTCGTGACACAAATATTACTATAACGATAACTTCTGGATTATCGTCCAATACGGTTTATCAGTTATGTCTATCCATTTCTTAAGAAACCAACATTTTGATAACGTTCAGCATTCTAAATCGATGTTTCTTGGGATTCATGTCCTTGTTACTCCTTTATTGACATCGTTTGTATTGTCCTTGATCTTATTTTGAGAACCTATAGTTTTAGAATAGCATAGTATTAGTAATTTGTATAAAAAGGCAAGATGTTAGCCTTTGAATATTAAGCTCAATCAAATGAATAAAATACTAATTCCTTACTTGTGAATAAACTTTTTATTTGATTATCTTCGAATCTTTACGTACAAGTAGTGAACGACCTTTACCCTAAATAATCAATATTTTGGCTTTGATTTTGTTATCAGAAATTAAGTCCAACCTTTGATTTTGCGTATTATAGTTTTGATTAGTTGAAATCATCTGGATTGTTGCTACCGAAGTAACCTTAATAGAACTCGTTATTTTATTGTAGATGATCGGACACTTTCTTGAAACATTTTGTCATTTAGCATAGACTCTTCTTATTGCTGGTTATCAGAAACCTCCTTGATACTCCAACGAAACTAAAATTAACATTCGTAAAAGGTTGATTTACGTGCAAATCACACAGGAGAGCTTTAGAAACCTTTCAATTGTAAGTCATTTAGCCTTGCTTTTATTCTTAACTTGTTGCATTCGCCTTCTAAATCCGTTAATTCCCAGCAGGGCGCAACAATATATATAATAGAAACCACAAACGTTGCACATATCGCAAAAATACTTGAACAGTAAACGTCGTCGCTTTATTAAGGAAATAATGAAATTTACCTACTCAATAAGGCTACCAATCCTCAGCAACTACAAAAAACACATACTCATATCCTAAACTAACGAACTGACATGCACCATTACAAGAAAATATCAGTAATTTACGTATAATCTGTAATCTTTCAACCGTCATTAGTATATTGTACAACCCCGGATTTCACTATCCTATAACGAGAAATAACGTAAAAAATAACGCTGGAAAAATCAAAAATGTTAATATAAATAAAATCGCAACTATTAATTTGCCGGCCAATTCACCCGACAACATCCAAAATACGAGGTCTTTCAAAGACTGTGGCTGAACTTGAGATGACGTTAACGGAAGAGTGGGAAAAATAGATTTAACTATTATAGATATGGATGGGTTGGGTTCTGTTCAAGTTTGATTTGTTCAGTTCAATCATATGAAAATGGAACCAGTTTCAGTTCTAATTGTTTAACTAGAACGGGGAATTGAACTGGTTCAAACGGTTCTATTCTATCCCTAATTATATAGAGGGAGTTATTTATTCAAGGCTGAGACGAATTATTGAAATATTACTGTAACTAATATTATTATTAAAGTAAAATGAATTGGAAATTTATAAAATTTTTTATTCTTCTTAAATCGCGTTTGGCGATACAGGAATATGAGGAATTTAGTTATAAAACCAAATTTTTAAAAAACACAAAATACATGTACAGTACCCACAGAAAGTATCGCCGATTTGAAATAATATAGTAAAATATATATAAAAATTTTTTATGATTTTATAATTAAAACAGTTCTTGCATCTTAAGCCATCCACAGCTAGGAATCATTTTTTGTAAACTATAATTGATTAACTTTAAAATGGCATAAAAGTTAGAAATAATTACTAAAGGAAATTTGAATTTGTATATACTTGAAAATTTCAATTTTTTATATGTAAAAGCGTGAGAAAAATTTTTTTACATATAAAAAGCGTGCGAAAAACTTTACAATTAAAAATGGTCTTTGTACTTTAAGTCGTCCGCAGCTATTTCTAAAAATATAATTCGTGAGCTTTAAAATAATATAAAATTTAAAATTAATTACTAGAAAAACATAAATATGTATATAGCTTGAAAATTTTTTATACGTTTTACTATATAATTTTGGACCGGGCGATACTTTTTGTGGATAGTCAACCAAACAAAAAACGGGTGCCGTCAAACATCCCGACAACCCAACTTCCCGATAAACTATCTAAAGCGGGAATAGATCCCGTGCTTCAATAGTGATTGGTTATGGTTAGAACATACGAACGATGATTGGCCAGAAAATGTGTGACAATGTAATTAAATAAGAGTTTTATTTATCGTTACAAATACATGTAGAATGATAAATTTTTTAATATAATACATGTATATCAATATTTAAAGATTACATTTATTTAATAATTTTTAAGACGTGATAATGGTGAAGGGAATAATATTATAATCTGCATTTTTATTGTTAAAAAATTTTAAACTAAACTAATTTTAATTTTTTTCTTTCACTTGTTCAAATTGCAAGATAATTAAATTCAAGAAGGCTTCTAACAAAGAGATAAAAGTCATCATTCTGTCAACATCACCTATCTCTTCAATATTCCAATATCTATCATATATTCTTTTAGTTAGTTCAACTATAGCAAGTCCTTGATCTTCAGCCTTTTTTGTTATTCCATTTACACATACTCAATAATGACTTATAACTTTTATATATCTCAAATCTGTTTCTTTAAACATTTTCATATTCTCTATATGTCAACAGTTAATAATTTATTATTATGCATAAGTTCATGAAAGATATGCTTATACAATAATATATATTAATTACAAAATATGTAATGACAATTATAAAAAGTTAAACCAGATGTATCTTTTTTTCAAGTCTATTTATTATAGTATGAATTTCTTTAATAATTAGTTATTGAAATAAAAAGGAAAATTTATGGATTTTTTCAAGAATATTTTTATTGATACTATATGTGAATATTTTCTTGACACTAAAATCAAAGGCAACACTTTCACATTCAGATTTTTTTAATAATTAATATTGATAATATCATGAATGATATCTAAAAAAAAGAAAAATTTAAATGTAAAATAAGATAGATAAATGAATATAAATAAATAAAAAATCTCAAATCAATTAAACTATATGATAAAAATATTTTTCTCTTTAATTTGTTATAAAAAGATTCTAATAAATTGTAATTATATAATTATGATTTGTAAGAGCAGAAAAAAATATTGATAAACTCATAAATTCTATTTTTATATATTTTTCATATAGTTTCTTTTAATATAGTTTTGTATAGCAGAAATAAAATAGTATTTACTAACATCCTAAATAAGACTTTTATATAAATTCTTTATATTTATATTCT